TATGGGGGGGGTGGATACAATGTGGGGGGGGGATACAATGTATATGGGGGGGGATGGATACAATGTATATGGGGGGGGATGGATACAATGTATATGGGGGGGGATGGATACAATGTATATATGGGGGGGATGGATACAATGTATATGGGGGGGGGGGGTGGATACAATGTATATATGGAGAGGACACAACGTATGACAGGCACAGCGCGGATCTGTATACAATGTATTCTCCGTACAGACAGGGAAGGGACACAATGTAACCTGCGGACAGACAGACGGACGGAGAACACGACGCCCGGTCCATACATAGTATACAGCCGGTGTACACAGGGTGGGGGGATGGGATCTCACACGTCTCCTCCACTCACCGTCCTCCCTCCGGACGTCTCCAACCACCAACAACCGACACCGCCGCCGATCTCTACGGGAAACCCGCCTACTAATCCCGCCTACTCCGCCCCACGCCGACCACGCCTCCTTCCAACGGCCACACCTCCTTCTCGTCGCGTCCGCTATTCTACAGAGATACCCCGCCCCGCCGACCCAGCCACGCCCATCTTTTTTTCTCTTTTTTTAATACACCAGAAAGGTCACGCCTGTGTGAGAGTTGCAGCCCCGCCCACTCCTCTGGTCCTTGGTGCGCTGATTGGGCGGGACGCCGGCTTATGCATGCGGCCGTCACGTGACCCGGGGCCAGAGGAGACCCCGAGAGTTTGTCCTGGAGTGACCCCGACCACCGGGGCCAGGAGCTGGAGGAAGGGGCGGGGCCACACCCGGCGGGGAGAACTTTTCCACTGATGGGGTGTTGTGTGACCTGGGGGGGCACGGAGCTTCCTATAGTCCTGGACACTATATATATATATATTCCTGTACTACACAACACCGTGCATGGGATCTATACACTGGAGTCATAGTATACACTGATGTATATAGTGCGCCACCAGACATATATATATACTGCATGTAGTACTCCGACTATATATATATATACTCTATAGTGCCACAAGTATTGGCCCCTCCAAATCATGTGACTCAGGTGCTCCAATCCCGTCCATGGCCACAGGTGTATACAATCAAGCCCCTAGGCATGCAGTCGGCTTCTACAAACATCTGTGAAAGAATGGGTCGCTCTCAGGAGCTCAGTGACTCCAAGCGTGGTCCCGTGATAGGTTGTCACCTGGGCAATAAGTCCATCCGTGACATTTCCTGGCTACTAAATATTCCACGCTCAACTGTTAGTGGGATTATAACAAAGTGGAAGCAACTGGGAACAACAGCCACTCAGCCACCAAGTGGTAGGCCACGTCACATGACAGGGCGGGGTCAGCGCATGCTGAAGCGCACAGTGCGCAGAAGTCACCAACTGTCTGCAGAGTCAATAGCTAAAGACCTTCAAACTTGGTGTGGCCTTCAGATGAGCCCAACAACAGTGCGTAGAGATCTTCATGGAATGGGTTTCCATGGCCGAGCAGCTGCATCCAAGCCTTACATCACCAAGTGCAATGCAAAGCGTCGGATGCCGTGGTGTAAAGCACGTCGCCACTGGACTCTAGAGCAGTGGAGACGTGTTCTCTGGAGTGACCAATCACGCGTCTCTGTCTGGCAATCCGATGGAAGTGTCTGGGTTTGGCAGTTGCCAGGAGAACGGTACTTGCCTGACTGCATTGTGCCAAGTGTAAAGTTTGGTGGGGGAGAATTATGGTGTGGAGTTGTTTTTCAGGGGTTGGGCTTGGCCCCCTAGTTCCAGTGAAGGGAACTCTTAAGGCGTCAGTATACCAAGACATTTTTGACAATTTGATGCTCCCAACTTTGTGGGAAGAGTTTGGGGATGGCCCCTTCCTGTTCCAACATGACTGCACACCAGTGCACAAAGCAAGGTCCATAAAGACATGGAGGAGCCAGTTTGGGGTGGAGGAACTTGACTGTCCTGCACAGAGTCCTGACCTCAACCCCACAGAACACCTTTGGGATGAATTAGAGCAGAGACTGTGAGCCAGGCCTCCTCCCCCGACATCAGTGCCTGACCTGACAAATGTGCTTCTGGAAGAATGGTCCAACCTTCCCATAGACACCCTCCTAAACCTTGTGGACGGCCTTCCCAGAAGAGTTGAAGCTCTTATAGCTGCAAAGGGCGGGGCCAACTCAATATTGAACCTACGGACTAAGACTGGGGGGCCGTTAAAGTTCATGTGTGTGGAAAGGCAGACGGCCCAATACTTTTGCCCAATATAGTGTATATTCTCTATAGCATTATGTTTTAAAATGACATGCAGTGCATACAAGATGGCCACTATGTACAGCAACTGCCTGATATCTTTTCCAAGTGTGACATATCTTATCTGACCTCCATACCTGTTCCAACTCTGATCATCTGATCTGACCTCCATACCTGTTCCAACTCTGATCATCTGATCTGACCTCCATATCTGTTCCAACTTTGATCATCTGATCTGACCTCCATACCTATTCCAACTTTGATCATCTGATATGACCTCCATATCTGTTCTAACTCTGAGCATCTGATGTGACCTCTATATCTGCCCCAACTCTGATCCATCAAATCTGACCTCCATATCTGCTCCAACTCTGTTAATTGAAAACGAACAACAGATTGCAAAAGATAGCAGGACCAACCCCAAAAAATTCTTCAAATATATTAATAGTAGAAAGGTCCGGTCCGAGCATGTAGGCCCTTTACAGAATCATCTAGAGTGGCTGACGGGACAAAGAGAAGACAAATTAATTTAATCCCTTTTTCAGCTCTGTGTATACAAAGGAGCATGGGGAGTTCTTGTCCATAATGGGCGTGGCACTGACACAGCTCCAGATGATCCACATTGGCTCACAATTGATATGATCCAAAAATATTTAGACAGAATAAAGATGAATAAAGCCCCTGGAGCGGATGGCATACACCCACGGGTCCTTAAATAACTGAGCTCTGTCATTTCAAAGCCATTGTTTTCTCATTTTTAGGGACTCTTTAACGACTGGCATAGTACCACTGGATTAGTGTAAGACCAATGTGGTGCCAATATTTAAAAAGGGGTCAAAATCTTTACCAGGTAATTACAGACCTGTTAGTGTAACTTCTGTAGTTGGGAAGATACTGGAGAGTTTAATAAAAGATCACACAGAGGAGTTCTTGCTGGAAAAAAATATTTTAAGCAACAGACAGCATGGATTTCATGAAAGACAGAAGTTGTCAAACAAATCTTATTTCTTTTTATGAGGAGGTGAGCAAAATCATGGACAGAGGGGTGGCGGTGGACGTGGTATACTTGGACAGAGAGGTGGCTGTGAATGTGTTATACTTGGACAGAGGGGTGGCGGTGGTCATGGTATACTTGGACAGAGGGGTGGCTGTGGACGTGGTATACTTGGACAGATGGGTGGCTGTGCAACGTGGTATACTTGGACAGAGTGGTGGCGTGGACGTGGTATACTTGGACAGAGGGGTGGCTGTAGACGTGGTATACTTGGACAGATGGGTGGCTGTGGACGTGGTATACTTGGACAGAGTGGCGGTGGACGTGGTATACTTGGACAGAGGGGTGGCGGTGGACGTGGTAATACTTGGGCAGAGGGGTGCTGTGAATGTGTTATACTTGGACAGAGGGGTGCGGTGGTCATGGTATACCTTGGACAGAGGGGTGGCGGTGGTCATGGTATACTTGGACAGAGGGGTGGCGGTGGACGTGGTATACTTGGACAGATGGGGTGGCTGTGCAACATGGTATAATTGGACAGAGGGGTGGCGGGTGGTCAATGGTATACTTTGGACAGAGGGTGGCTGTAGACGTGGTATACTTGGACAGATGGGTGGCTGTGGCCGTGGTATACTTGGACAGAGGGGGGCTGTGAATCATGTAAACTTGGACAGAGGTGTGGCTGTGAAATGTTGTTATACTTGGACAGAGGGGTGGCGGTGGTCTGTATAACTTGGACCGGGTGGCGGTGGTCAGGCAATGGTATACCTGGACAGAGGGTGGCTGTGGACGTGTATACTTGGACAGAGGGGTGGCTGTGCAACATGGTATACTTGGACAGAGGGGTGGCGGTGGTCATGGTATACTTGGACAGAGGGGTGGCTGTGGCCGTGGTATACTTGGACAGAGGGTGGCTGTGGACGTGGTATACTTGGGCAGAGGGGTGGCGGTGCAACATGGTATACTTGGACAGAGTATGGTGTGGATGTGGTATATTTGGACAGAGGGGTGGCTGTGGACGTAGTATACTTGGACAGAGGGTGGGCTGTGGACGTGGTATCTACTTAGACAAAGGGTGGCTGTGGACGTGGTATTACTTGGACAGAGGGGTGGCTGTGGACGGATTATAAACTTGGACAGAGGGTGGCTGTGCAACATGGTATACTTTGGACAGATGGGTGGCGGTGGACATGGTTATAACTTGGACAAGAGGGGTGGCGGTGGACGTGGGTATACTTTGGACAGAGGGGTGGCGGTGGACGTGGTATACTTGGACAGAGGGGTGGCGGTGGTTGTGGTATACTTGGGACAGATGGGGCTGGCGTGAACGTGGTATACTTTGGAAATAACAGTGGGTGGTATACTTAGATTTTTGCAAAAGCGCTTGACACAGTTCCCCACACAGCTAATGTGTAAGGTTAAAGTCTACAGGATTAGAAAATCTGTATGGGTAAATGGATAGAAAACTGGCAAAAGATCATATTCAAGAATACGTGGTTAATAATTCCAATCATATAATACATAAGGGGGGATATATGATCTCCATGTAGTATACATAAGGGGGGTGTATGATCTCCATGTATAAACATAAGGGGGGATATGGAGCATGGTAATAATACATAAGGGGGATATGATCTCCATGTATAACATAAGGGGGGATATGATCTCCATGTATAATATACATAAGGGGGGTATATGATCTCCATGTATAATACATAAGGGGGGATATGATCTCCATGTATAATACATAAGGGGGGATATGATCTCATGTATAATACATAAGGGGGGATATGATCACCATGTATAATACATAAGGGGGGATATGATCTCCATGTATAATACATAAGGGGGGATATGATCTCCAATGTATAATATACATAAGGGGGATATGATCTCCATGTATAATACATAAGGGGGATATGATCTCCATGTATAATACATAAGGGGGGATATGATCTCCATGTATAATACATAAGGGGGATATGATCTCCATGTATAACTACATAAGGGGGATATGATCACCATGTATAATACATAAGGGGGATATGAATCACCATGTATAATACATAAGGGGGGATATGATCACCATGTATAATACATAAGGGGGATAATCTCCATGTATAATACATAAGGGGGGATATGATCTCCATGTATAATACATAAGGGGGGATATGATCTCCATGTAAATACATAAGGGGGATATGATCACCATGTATAATACATAAGGGGGGGATATGATCTCCATGTATAATACATAAGGGGGGATATGATCTCCATGTAACATAAAGGGGATATGATCTCTATGTAAATACATAAGGGGGGATATGATCACCATGTATAATACATAAGGGGGGGGATATGAACTCTCCATGTATAATACATAAGGGGGGATATGATCTCCATGTATAATACATAAGGAGGGATATGATCTCCATGTATAATACATAAGGGGGATATATCTCCATGTATAATACATAAGGGGGATATGATCTCCATGTATAATACATAAGGGGGGATATGATCACCATGTATAATACATAAGGGGATATGATCTCCAATGTATAATACATAAGGGGATATGATCTCCATGTATAATACATAAGGGGGATATGATCTCCATGTATAATACATAAGGGGGATATGATCTCCATGTATAATAACATAAGGGGGGGATATGATCACCATATAATACATAAGGGGGGATATGATCTCCAGCGTATGTAAATACATAAGGGGGGATATGATCTCCATGTATAATACATAAAGGGGATATGATCTCCATGTATAATACATAAGGGGGGATATGATCTCCATGTATAATACATAAGGGGGGGGTGATATGATCTCCATGTATAATACATAAGGGGGGGATATGATCACCATGTATAATAATACATAAGGGGGATATGATCTCCATGTATAATACATAAGGGGGGGGGATATGATCTCCCATGTAAAATACATAAGGGGGATATGATCTCCATGTATAATACATAAGGGGGGGATATGATCTCCATGTATAATACATAAGGGGGGGGATTTGATCTCCATGTATAAATACATAAGGGGGATATGATCTCCATGTATAATACATAAGGGGGGGTGATATGATCTCCATGTATAATACATAAGGGGGATATGATCTCCATGTATAATACATAAGGGGGGATATGATCTCCATGTATAATAACATAAGGGGGGATATGATCTCCATGTATAATACATAAGGGGGGGGGGATATGATCTCCATGTATAATACATAAGGGGGGATATGATCACCATGTATAATACATAAGGGGGGGGGGATATGATCTCCATGTATAATACATAAGGGGGGATATGATCTCTCCATGTATAATACATAAGGGGGGGGATATGATCTCCATGTATAATACATAGGGGGGGGATATGATCTCCATGTATAATACATAAGGGGGGATATGATCACCATGTATAATACATAAGGGGGGAATATGATCTCCATGTATAATACATAAGGGGGATATGATCTCCATGTATAATACATAAGGGGGGGGATATGATCTCCATGTATAATAAACATAAGGGGGATATGATCTCCATGTATAATACAAAAGGGGGGAATATGATCTCCATGTATAAAATACATAAGGGGGGATATGATCTCCATGTATAATACATAAGGGGGGAATGAAATCCCATGTATAATACATAAGGGGGGATATGATCTCCATGTATAATACATAAGGGGGGATATGATCTCCATGTATAATACATAAGGGGGGATATGATCTCCATGTATAATACATAAGGGGGGGGATATGATCTCCATGTATAATACATAAGGGGGGGGATGATCTCATGTATAATACATAAGGGGGGGGATATGAACTCTCATGTATAATACATAAGGGGGGGATATGATCTCCATGTATAATACATAAGGGGGGGATATGATCTCCATGTATAATACATAAGGGGGGATATGATCTCCATGTGTAATAATAAACATAAGGGGGATATGATCTCCATGTATAATACATAAGGGGGGATATGATCTCCATGTATAATACATAAGGGGGGGGATATGATCTCCATGTATAATACATAGGGGGATATGATCACCATGTATAATACATAAGGGGCTGTGCACAGCCATCCAGAGCAGTGTGCCCGAGTTAACAGGGAGGAGGACTGTTAGTAAACAAAACAATCCTCCTCCCGGGCGGTGATCATCGCAAAATCACCGGGCGCCGGCGAGTAATTACCAGCTGGGACTCGGTGATTGACAACCACGGCCGCAAAATGGCGGCGCGGGTAGGGCATGCGTCTCGCGTGCGCCCCCAACCCGGAAATAAATATACGTGATTTTGCACACCTATGCCGCCCTGTAGCAGTTTATCTGCTATAGGAAGGTCGGGATGCAGTTAAGGTTTTGACCCCGAGCTAATGTTGATTTTATTTTTTGTGAAATTTATAAAAATTTGTCTTTTTTATGCCGCGGTTCGTTCTTGTTTGGGACTTCTTTTGGATGTGAGCTGCTTTGCTCGCATCATTTTAGTTTGGATGCCTACTGCTACCAATACCACCAAGATTCTTCCCATACCTGTGACACCGAGGGTGAGGGTGAAATGCTGGCTTTACAAATTTCAGAATTTCTGATGAGTAGTAGAGGATTTAGGAGGGGTGGTTGGGAAGGTGGACATGTGTGACCCCCGCCAACTCTTCTATCAGAATGAGATCAGTCCGAATGATATAATTATGATTTTGTTGGCCTCGTCTGCTCTGTATTTGCTGAACTGTCGGCTCGTCTCGTCTCGGCCCGTCCGCTCCCCTCTGCTCGCTCAGCATATTGCACAGGACGGCTCAGCTCATCACATGTAATTACAGTTATTTGGTCGTCTAGACCGACCTCTTATCTATTATAACTTCATGATTAAGGACTACCTTTAATTTTTTATGATGAACGCAGTATACACAGCGCTTTTATTTAACCCCTCGCCTACCGGGCACTTATACCCCCTTCCTTACTAGGCCAATTTTCAGTTTTCAGCGCTGTTGCACTTTAAATGACAATTGCGCGGTCATGCAACGCTGTACCCATATTGCATTTTTATCATTTTTTTTCTCACAAATAGAGCTTTCTTTTGGTGGTATTTAATCACTGCTGAGTGTTTTATTTTTTTTTTTTTTGCGCTATAAACAAAAAAAAGAGCAAAAAAAAAAAAAAAAGTATCTTTGTTTCTATTATAAAATTTTGCAAACAGGTAATTTTTCTCCTTCACTGATGTGCATTGATGAGGCTGCACTGATGGGCACTGATAGGCAGCGCTGATAGGCAACACTAATGAGGCGGCACTGATAGTTGGCACTGATGATGGGTACTGATAGTCAGCACTGATGAGCTGGCACTGATGATGGGTACTGATATTTGGCACTGATAGGCGGCACTGATAGGCAGCACTGATAGTCGGCACCAGGGGCGGACTGACCATTCAAGCACTCGGGCACTGCCCGAGGGTCCAGAGTCAGTACGGGGCCCCATGAGATGCCCCTGGTACCTTTTTCATAGGCTTTTTTGAGTTTTGGCAATGACACAGGGGCCCCATGATCCCCTATTGCCCGGGGGCTCCATGAGTTGTCAGTCCACTGATGGGCACTGATGATGGGTACTGATATTTGGCACTGATAGGTGGCACTGATAGGCAGCACTTCTGGGCACCAACTGGTGGCACTGCTGGGCTGTATTGATGGGCATTGGTGAGTGACACTGGTGGGTATTGCTGGGCACAGGTGGGTGGCACTGCTGGGTACTTGTGGGCAGAACTGGTGGGTGGCACTGCTGGGCACCGATCATCAGGGAACCAGGGGCGGACTGACCATTTGGAAACTCGGGCACTGCCCGAGGGCCCGGGGTCAGTAGGGGGCCCCATGAGATGCCCCTGGTACCTTTTTCATAGGCTTTTTTGAGTTTGGGCAAGGACACAGGGGCCCCATGATCCCCTATTGCCCAGGGGCCCCATGAGTTGTCAGTCCGCCCCTGTAGGGAACTGATCATCAGTGCCCTGATGATCGGTGCCGATCCCTGCTCTGACAACTGCAGCTTCTCGGCAGTACTTTCCTCACACTCTGATAGCGTGAGGAAAGTGCAGCCAAGAACTGGCAATTGCATTTCCCGGTGATCAGTGTGTCATTGGACACGGCTGATCATGTGGTAAAAGGCCGCTGCGATTGGCCTTTTACCACATCACGTGATCAGCTGTGTTCGTAGGACACAGTGATCACAGAGATCGCCGGGGGAACGCAGGAGGGCGCGTTCTGGGAGGACATCATATGACAGCCTCCCAGAACTGGCCGGCCGCAGTGCAGCCGTCATTAGGCTACCTGCGGTCGGCAACTGGTTAATCAAAGCAAACTGCACAAATTCCCAATACCTCTATCATACAAAGCTTCAAATAATAAAGAGGATATCCTCTCTTCTAAAAACCTTGTTAAATGAAATACTGCGCTTTGTATAATAATAATGTAAACTTCACTTATCATACATATTCCCTATGAAGTTTGCAAAATTTTATAATAGGAACAACGAAAAATTTTTTTTTTTTTCACATTTTTTGTTTATAGTGCAAAAAATAAAACATACAGTGACGAATAAATACCACCAAAAGAAAGCTCTATTTGTGTGAAAAAAATTAATAAAATGTCATATGGATACAGTGTTGCATGACCGCGCAATTGTCATTCAAAGAGCAATGGCACTGAAAAGTGAAAATTGGCCTGGGCACGAAGGAGGTGAAAGTGCAGGGGCGGACTGACCATTTGGAAACTTGGGCACTGCCCGAGGGCCCGGGGTCAGTAGGGGGCCGCATGAGATGCCCCTGGTACCTTTTTCATAGGATTTTTTGAGTTTGGGCAAGGACACAGGGGCCCCATGATCCCCTATTTCCCGGGGGCCCCATGAGCTGTTAGTCCGCCCCTGCCGGTAGGCGAGGGTTTAGTGGACTGCAGTGCGTTTCTGCAAAAAACAAAAAGCACAAAAAAAACGCATTGGTGTGAACGGAGTCTTACAGACCCCCCACCCAAAAAAAATGCCTGTCCCTGGTTATCTTTACTCCAGTATTTTTTTGTTTTGTTTTGCGGGGGGGGGGGGGATGCAGTATTCAATTTCTCTCCTAAAAAATGTAGCAAAACTGTTGAAATGAACTTACATGTAGGAAAAAAATTCAACATGATAAAAAAAAAGTTGAACTGATCATGTTGCACTTTTAGAAAAAGCAGAACTTTAGCGATTTTTTTTTTTTGCAATGAATCTACTGTACATGTTTTACATTTGTCAGCGGTTTGCGGAAAGACGAAGTGCTGCGAAATATTTTGGGCTCAGAAAGTCGTTTCTGTCCAACGTATACAGACAATGATGAGAAAACAATTTGCAGGTGGAGGGAGAGATCTGTATTTGTTTGCAGCGTTGCGTGAAAGTGTGATGTACACCCCGCTTCCTGCTGGTGTGTATTTTAAGGCCGCTCCTCGGGGACCCACTTCTGGTAATGAGAGATGTTTTTCCATATGTGGACCAGGTGGGCAGGAAATAATAAGGACGCGGGGCCTTGTTCATTCATAGAGGGTATCAAGAAACATGACATGAGGAAGGAACATATATACAGGCGTGTTTGTAGGGAACTAGAAATTATACTGGATTTGGCTCATTTTTATCTGAACTTTTTTAAAGGATAATGTGGTTTTAAAATGATTTTTTTTTTTCTATTTCTATTAAAATCTTATTGAACCACTTGCTTACCGGGCCAATTGTGATATTTCTGTCATACATGTAAAAATTGACTTTTTTTTTGCTAGAAAATCACTTACAACCCCCAAAGATTATATTATATAGAGCAGCCTTTTTCAACCAGGGCGCCCAGGCAGTGGTGTATTTAGGTTTTGTGCTGCCCTAGGCAACAGAAAAATTGTCTGCCCCCACGGACACCGACCACCAACCCTTCCCCATCCCGCGGAGAGAGAGCCGGACATTGACCAACAACACCCTTGCCCCCCCATATATCGATAGAAAGGATTAATCTACACAGCTCTGGACATCCCATCAAGCAGCCATCTCTCAGATCCCACCTGGTTCCCATCACGTGTGTCCCTTCCTCCATCCCTTCTTCTGGGAGGTGCTGCCCCCCTGAAAAATGCTGCCCTAGGCAAGTGCCTTGTTTGCTTTTTGGTAAATACACCCCTGCGCCCAGGCACCCTGGGGTGCCTTGAGGTTTCTTCAAAATGCCTAAACATTGCCCAAAAATTGTGTACAAGCCAGATTTGGATCAAGTCTGCTTTTTAGTTACACCATTACAACCTTCTAGCTGCTGACACCTGAACAATGACATCCAATGGCATCATCAGTTGAAAATGGAGGATGTTGGTCGTTTGCACAGCATCCTTGTTTAACCCTTCCCCACCCCTCTCCGTCATTGCTAGTGTCACATTAGCTGAGTGATGGAGAAAATCTTAGAGAGAAGAGAAACATTGGAATACTAGACAGTACCAGTGTGCACCAGTATTTGATTTGGAAGAATACATCACCTCTAACATTGGGTGTCCTACGTGTGTGGATGATGGCACATTATATAAAACTATTAGAATCGTTTTTTTTACATTTTAGAATGGGGTGCCTTGGGACTCTCCATCATTTTAAAGGGTGCTTCTGGACTGTCCATCATTTTAAAGGGTGCCTCTGGACTGTCCATCATTTTTAAAGGGTGCCTCTGGACTGTCCATCATTTTAAAGGGTGCCTCTGGACTGTCCATCATTTTAAAGGGTGCCTCTGGACTGTCCATTATTTTAAAGGGTGCCTCGGAACTGTCCATTATTTTAAAGGGTGCCTCTGGACTGTCCATCATTTTAAAAGGTGCCTCTGGACTGTCCATCATTTTAAAGGGTGCCTCTGGACTGTCCATTATTTTAAAGGGTGCCACGGAACTGTCCATCATTTTAAAGGGTGCCTCTGGACTGTCCATTATTTTAAAGGGTGCCTCGGAAATCTCCATCATTTTAAAGGGTGCCTCGAGATTGTCCATCATTTTAAAAGGTGCCTCTGGACTGTCCATCATTTTAAAGGGTACCTCTGGACTGTCCATTATTTTAAAGGGTGCCTCGGAACTGTCCATCGTTTTACAGGGTGTCTCTGGACTGTCCATTATTTTAAAGGGTGCCTCGGAAATCTCCATCATTTTAAAGGGTGCCTCGAGACTGTCCATCATTTTAAAGGGTGCCTCGAGACTGTCCATCATTTTAAAGGGTGTCTCTGGTCTGTCCATCATTTTAAAGGGTGCTTTGACTGAAAAAAAGGTTGAGAAGCACTGCCCTTTAGAACAATAATAATAAAAGAACATGGTTTGTGACCAAAGCCTGGTCAGGTAGGAACAAGTTCTATTCTGACTTTGTGCTAGGCACAGCGCTTTCTCTAAACCTACTTTTGCTGGCCATGTGAAAGGGGTCTGATGCTGCTCCATTGGACCCCCGTAGTCTGCTGGGAAACCAACACTTCCTTAAGTGCCAGTCTCCATACCTGGGAACTTGTGAAAATCATAATTCCTGGTAATGGAGGTGGAGAACGGGGTGAAGTGGTGAGTGGGACATTCACCGCGGTGAATGGCGGGTGTGACAATAAATGGCAGGTGTGACAATATTGCACAGTGGGAGGGGTGTAAACCTGTTTCTAAGTGACTGGCAGCAGCATCATATCTACCTCCAGCCATGTTGGGGGGCAACTCACCCCTTGGTCTACTTTGCTCCTACACAGCACCCCTCCCTCCTCCTCACCACCGTCCCTAATACATACAGTTGTGTTCAAAATAATAGCGGTGTGTTGAAAAAAGTGAATAAAGCTGAAAATCCTTCTAATAGCTTTTATTTCCATCCACACAAATGCATTGGGAACACGACACATTCTATTCCAAATCAAAACATGAATAAAAATACATCAAATTTGTGTTGTTCCTCTAAAAAAAATGGAAGAAAAGTGAATATTAGACGTTCAAAAAAATCGCAGTGTTTGTATTCTTCTTTACAAACTCAAACATTTGCTATATAAACTGAGAAATGTTTGAAGATTTTGCTTTCCTTTGAATGACTTCATGAATATTTGGTTGTAGTCGCACTGTTTCTGAGAACTGCTGTACATCTGTGTTGCATGGAGTCACCCAACTTCTGGCCCCTGTGATCAGGTATTCCAGCCCAGGATGATTGGACCACATTCCACAGTTCTTCTCTATTTCTTGGTTTTGCCTCAGAAACGGCATTTTTGATGTCACCCCACAAGTTTTCTATTGGATTAAGATCCGGGGATTGGGCTGGCCACTCCATAACGTCCATCTTGTTGGTCTGGAACCAAGATGTTGTACGTTTACTGGTGTGTTTGGGGTCGTTGTCTTGTTGGAACACCCATTTCAAGGGCATTTCCTCTTCAGCATAAGGCAGCATGACCTCTTCAAGTATTCTGATGTATTCAAACTGATCCATGATCCCTGGTATGCGATAAATAGGCCCAACACCGTAGTATGAGAAACATCCCCATATCATGATGCTTGCACCACCATGCTTCACTGTCTTCACAGTGTACTGTGGCTTGAATTCAGTGTTTGGGGGTCGTCTGACAAACTGTCTCCGGCCACTAGACCCAAAAAGAACAATTTTACTTTCATCAGTCCACAAAATGTTGCGCCATTTCTCTTTAGGCCAGTCAATGTGCTCTTTGGCAGATTGTAACCTCTTCAGCACGTCTTTTTTCCAACAGTGGGACTTTGCGGGGACTTCTTGCAGATAGCTTGGCTTCACATAGGCGTCTTCTAATTGTAACAGTCCTCACAGGGAACGTCACACCTTCTTTCATCTTCCTGGAGCTGATTGTTGGCTGAGTCCGTGCCATTTTGGCTATTCTTCTATCCATTCCAATGGTAGTTTTTCGCTTTCTTCCACGTCTTTCAGGTTTTAGTTGCCATTTTAAAGCATTTGCGATCATTTTAGCTGAGCAGCCGATCATTTTCTGCACTTCTTTATATGTTTTCCCCTCTCCAATCAACTTTTTAATCAAGGTACGCTGTTCTTCTGAACAATGTCTGGAACGACCCATTTTCCTCAGAATTTCAGAGAGAAATGCACTGTAACCAGCATGTCCAACATTTGCTGCCTTCCTTCCTTAAATAAGGGCAATAATTGCCACCTGTTTTTCAAAGAATGAATGACCTCACTAATAGAACTCCACACTGCTATTATATTGAACACGCCCCTTTCAATGAGTGATTCAATGACACAGAATCAGCAGCATGCATGTCATGACTGTTGGGTCTGTTGGATTTCTATTACTCTACTACACCTGCTAGGAAATTATTTGCCATGTAAAAATATCATTTCTACCAAAAACAGTGATTGATCCGGTTAGTGATGGCTGACTGCTATAGTTTTGAACACAACAGTAGTTACATATAGTTACATAGTTAGTCTGGCTGAAAAAAAGACAAAATTCCATCCAGTTTGACCATTAAAAACAAAATACCTCTGCATGCAGTCAGTGATTGAGTAGCACAACATGCCAGCAATGGCATCACTTTGTCATTTCATGATTCCAGTAGTAACCTACAGTGGGTAAAATAATTATTTGATCCCCTGCAGATTTTTTAAGTTTGCTCACTTACAAAGAAATGGAGGGTCTATCATTTTTATCATAGGTGTAACATTTGATCCAAAAAAACACGATACAAATGTTATAAATTGAGTTGCAGTTCAGTGAGAAAAATAAGTATTTGATCCCCAAGCAAAACATGACTCAGTACTTGTTGGAGAAACCCTTGTTGGCAAGCACAGAGGTCAGACGTTTCTTGTGGTTGGTTCCCAGGTTTGCACACATCTCAGGAGGGATTTTGGTCCACTCTTCTTTACAGATCTTCTCTTAATTCTTAGGATATCTTGGCTGTCGCTTGGCAACTCGAAGTTGCAGCTCCCTCCATACATTTTCTATAGGATTAAAGTCTGGAGACTGGCTAGGTCACTCCATGACCCTAATGTGCTTCTTTTTGTGTCCCTCCTTTGTTGCCTTGGCATTCTGTTTTGGGTCATTGTCATGCTGGAAGACCCATCCACGACCAATCTTCAGTGTTCTGGCTGAGGGAACAAGGTTCTCATCCAAGATTTTACAATACCTGGCCCTGTTCATCAGCAACGTTGACCTGTACCTTTAGCAAAGAAACAGCCCCAAAGCATAATGTTTCCACCTCCCTGTTTGACTGTAGGGATGGTGGTCTTAGAGTCATAGTCAGCATTTTTCTTCCTCCAAACACGGCGCGTTGAGTTAATTGCAAAGAGCTCAATTTTGGTCTCATCTGATCACAGCACTTTCTCCTAATCCTTCTCTGAATCATTTGGAAGTTCAATGGCAAGCTTCAGATGGGCCTGTACATGTTCCTTCTTGGGGAAGGGAACATTGCAGGTGCTGCTGGATTTCAATCCATGGCATGTTATGTTATCAGTAGTTTGTTTGGTTGCTGTGGTTCCAACTGCCTTGAGATCATTCACAAGCTCCTCACGTGTAGTTCTGGGCTGATCCCTCACTTACCTCCTGATCATCCTTACCCCATGAGGCGAAATCTTACATGGAGCTCCAGACCGAGGGCGATTGATGGTTATTTTGTATTTCTTCCATTTGTGAATAATCGCTCCAACAGTTGTCTCCTTCTCACCAAGCTTCTTGATGATGGTCTTGTAGCCCATTCCAGCCTTGTGCAGGTCTACAATCCTGTCCCTGACATCCTTTGACAGCTCCTTGGTCTTGCTCATGGTGGTGCCCGGGAAAGAGATTCTGTGGACACGTGTCACTTATACACATAACAAATTGTCGTTAGGAGCACCTTCTTAAATTGACAGGACTAATCTGTGTACCACATGAGCACATAGCCAGTCTGTGGGAGCCAGAATTATTGTTGGTTGGTAGGGGGTCAAATACTTATTTTACTCACTGAACTGCAACTCCATTTTATAACATTTGTATCGTGTTTTAATTGGATATTTGGTTGATATTCTTCGTTTAAAATACGCCTATGATAAAAAAAATTATAGACACTTAATTTCTTTATCTGCATATTAATTTACAAAATCTGCAGGAGATTAAATAATTATTTTTCCCGCTGTAGCAACTGAATCAAAATTCTGCCATTGCCAGGTCAGTTCTGCAAAGTTCACAAGTATGCTGGAGATTTCACAATTCTGGTAATGATCTGGCAACTGGATTAAAATTCTGGCATTAGTAGGCTAATTCTGGAAAGTTCCTAGGTATTCCAGAGATTTCACAGTTCAGGTAATGTCCCTGCAACTGGAAAGTTTCCAAATATGCTGATCTCCCAGAAGTCCCCCACAGATCTCATGGATTCCTCCGTCTGACAACATGTTACTGTAAAATACAATAGTGACAGCTGCGGTGACCACGAGGATCTATACTGCCGGTATTGTTAGTTTGCCTACAGATTTGGATGGCCAGTTCTCTGCAATGAAAAAATTAGGTATACACTCTACTTTATGGGTCTGTGCTTGGATTGGAACATTTTAGGGTCTCTTTAAAGCAGATGATAACTTTACTGTATTTCAGGCTTTAGGGGGGGTGCTGTCCTGTGGCCAGTGGTAGTAAACAATGCTTTAGACTCAGTGTTCAGTGGAAGTATAACAATTACATAGTGCCTGTGGTTAGTAACAAGAAGAATAGTGCCCCATTATTGGTCTTGGTGGAAGGAAATGTAGCTCATCGTTGGTGTCAGTGGGAGGAATAGTGCCCCATTGTTGGCATCAGTGGGAGGAATAGTGCCCCATCATTGGTGTCAGTGGGAGGAATAGTGCCCCATCATTGGTATCAGTGGGGGAATAGTGCCCCATCATTGGTCTCAGTGGGAGGAATAGTGCCCCATCATAGTGTCAGTTAGTGCTCATGGTGTCAGTGGGAGGAATAGTGCTCCATCATTGGTGTCAGTGGGAGGAATAGTGCCCCATCATTGGTATCAGTGAGAGGAATAGTGCCCCATCATTAGTGTCAGTGGGAGGAATAGTGCCCCATCATTGGTATCGGTGGGAGGAATAGCGCCCCATCCTTGGTCTCAGTGGGAGGAATAGTGTCCCATCATTGGTATCGGTGGGAGGAATAGTGCCCCATCATTGGTGTCAGTGGGAGGAATAGTGCCCCATCATTAGTATCAGTGGGAGGAATAGTGCCCCATCATTGGTATCAGTTGGAGGAATAGTGCCCCATCATTGGTGTCAGTGGGAGGAATAGTGCCCC